TTACAAAACCTTCATTCAAACCAGATAACATCCTCTGTTCTCACAGTACAAAATGTAGCTTTCTGTGGGACTTATTCCTTTTGTCAGCACCCTTCCCTAATTAGCCTATCATTTCCTTTTTCTTTCACATATTTGTGCTATGTAATCAGATATTAAACTCAGCTGCTTCTCATGTCCTTCCCTTGCCTTGTTCTTCCCCCTTCCAGATAAGGAGAATTTAATGTTCACTCAGCTGTTATATATTCATTCAAAAAAAAAAAGCTTTGGTCTGCTTTCTACAAGGCCTTGTAGTTCCTACTGGGAGGTAAGTAGCATAGGCAGGGCAAGTTTCTGAAGCAACCCCTATGATTTTCTGCATTATTTCCCCCTTTTCTCCTCAGTTTCATCCTAGTTCTCCCTAGAAGTGAATTCTGTCCCATTCTATCATCATCTAGACAGTGTAATATAAGAAAAGGATTAGGGACATTGGTACTGGATAGTTTAAAATTGATTTAATTTTTTTAAATTTTGATTTAGTTCTCTGGAGTATTTTGCCTTAGATTAAAAAGTTAAAATTTCCATTTGAATTGGAAGCTTCTGAGGTTAAAGATTGATATTTACATGTCAAACACATTATTGTCCTTTAAATGGTTTCTCTAGTTGGTGCTTTCACAATATAGCCTATGTTATTGTATGAAATGTCATTGAATAGTAACAAATGCAGTTCTTTCTTGGGATGTAATCATTTGGACTGGCCCTCTGCTTCAGTGATGTGGACCACTGAAGCCACTTACTGGTCACTGCCCTCCAGACAATGATTTCTTTGCAGTTTCCCTTATAGGAATATATAGCAATAGTCAATGGAATGAATTATGTTGCATTTTGAATAAATTTCAAGGATTGACTGGCTTCATCTTTGGCTATAAATATGACAATGTATAGCTTTCCTCTGTCCCCACTCACATAATTCACATCGATATTATCAATACTCTTCTCCAGACTAGCCTTCTCATTGGTGTTCCTGCCTTCCGTCCACCCTAAACCATCCTCTACCTAGCTGTCAGATTAATAGGCCCCAAAGCACAGATTCCATTTGTTCCTTCTTGCCTCTAAAATCATAACACGGGGCAGCTAGGTGGCGCAGTGGATAAAGCACTGGCCCTGAAGTCAGGAGGACCTGAGTTCAAATCCGGCCTCAGACCAAACACTTGACACTTACTAGCTGTGTGACCCTGGGCAAGTCACTTAACCCCAATTGCCTAACCCCCCCCCAAAAAAAAAATCACAACACAATGCTCATAAAGCCCTATCACTGTCTTGGACCGTCCCCTCAGTCCAGCCTTATTGCAGTTATTCTCCACGCTGTGTCCCAGCCAAAGGTGGCCTTACTGCTTCCTGTGCTTGACCTGGCACCTCCCTTTTCCCTGCCTTAGCACAAGCTGTTGTTGCCCAGGCCTGGAATGTACTGCATTCTATGCTGACTTGAGAGCAAGGACTAAGAATTTTGTTTTTGGGTTCCTGGCACCGACCACAACTCATAGGAGCTTAAGTCTTGAACCAAATCACCACTTTTATCAGGCATTTGTTGATGGGATTTTTTTTTTGTATCTGTTGCTGAAAAAAGATTCTGGAAAAACATAATATTCTGTTTGACAAATCTATATTAAATTACCTTCTACATAGCAGCAAGTTAGCAGAGTAGTCTTAAAAGTTAAAGGCATACTCCCTGAACTCAAGTTAACACTCCTCAAGAGCAGGTGAAACACTGACAGATGAGCTATAATAAGGAAATGAAATGTGACAGATATGTAAAAGAAGGGCAGTTAAGTTCTGGGGCAAAAGGACCATTTCCTATGGGGGTTTGGGTGTGTTAGGTGGAGAAAGAATGGGAATGTAGAAGGTTTCTTGTTAATAGTTAAGAGGAAGAGTCAACCTCTGCATTATTAGTTTTGGTAGATGAGTGTCTTATGATGTGGCACTTGAACCAAACCTTAAAATAAGAACTCTTGCTCATTTAAGATGTTATTGTCACTTCTCTCAGTGCTTTTGTTTTAATGATGAAAAGCTGTGCAAAAAAATTGGCAACAGCAAAAGGTTTCTGAACACACAGAGACCAAAAATTAATTAAATCGAAGGTGTGATGGATCCCTGTCGCATCCTGCAACTTCACTGCAGCCTTGGTTCTGAACTCAAAGCGTGTGTACTTTGCACTGCCAATTCGTGCCCTTGGGTCACTCCATGAGGAAATGCCAAAAGGGGTCACAAGAGTGTTGAAAGTTTTAAGAAGCCCTGGCCTAGTCCTTCGGTAGTGTGGCAGTGCTTCAAAATGACGAATGTTTTCCCCAGACATCAAACAGGATTGTCCTGGTTGGGGATATGTAAAATGCCAGGAGATTTTCTAGGAGCATATTGTATCATTGCTTTGGTTAGGGGCATGATTGATTGATTGATTGATTTGCTGTTCTGTGCAGAATGGAGTCTTTAAAGACAGGTTAGTGTGGAACTTCGAGTTGGAGGATTTCTCACTTCTCCAAGTCACCACCATTTCCCAGCAGTTCCTACGAATTAAGGGCAGTGTTGATTGTTAAGCAGCAGTACTTTGGGGGTTGTAAAGTCAGTGAGAAGGGGCTGAGAGTTGCTAGAAATTAGTTGAAGATGTCCTTGCCTGACAACTTGGAGTGCAGCCTTGTAGATGTGAGTCTTGGAAGAGAAGTGACTGAATTTAACATGAAACAAATATTTTCTGGGAAGTGCTGTGGGCTCGAATTGTCGATGGATGGATGGAAGCAGAGTAGATCAGAAACTAACAAAGCAGAATGCAGCAGTCCAGCTGTTCTCATATTGATGATGACGTGTAATAGATGAGGGCATTAATGTTTTTTGAAAATCACTGGTCTCTGAAGTGTCGAGCTGGTTGGGAGGATGGAATTTTATTTACATTTCCTCTCACAACCTATAAAGAAAGAGAAAAAAAAAACTTTTCAGGCAACTCTCCAGAAACACTTGTTGCTTAAAGTACTCTCTTTGGGCTGCAGGTTGGCTGCCACGTTAGTGGGCCAAGGCAGTATGTGCTCAGACTTTGCACTGTTTTGCATGTTGACGTGAAGCTTGTGTTCATAATTCCAGTCCCATTTTAAAGTTGGACTTATATTTATGACTCAACATAGAAAAAATTGCCTTTTAGGCTTTTTTTGTTTTGTTTTGTTTTGGTAGTCCTCAGAGCTGAAATGCTCATCATCAGATTTGGCATTGTTCCCCAGTGTAGACTCTTGGACAGTGTTGCATTATTTAGCATGGGGGGAAACTGAATATGTGGCTTTCCTTCTATCTGGAAAGTACTACTTTTTCTAACCTTAGAGGCTGAAATTTTAATCATTCGTTTGAATCCTTAACCAAAAAAAGCAGGTGGTTCATAGCAGATGAGAACTATTTATGGTAAGAAGTCCATTTCAAGGGAGGAAGAAATAGTCAAAACAGGGGAAAAGGGAATAAGAATTGTGAGTTCTGAGTAAACAGTTTCTTTATCCAAAATAGGTACTTGAGTGTTGTTGTTGGCTTATCAAAGGTTCTTGGCTAGTATTAGAAAGATTTTCAGAACCTTAATAAGAGCCTTGATGTTAATCTTAAGCTGTTTATTCAGAGAATAGGCAAGTACTTTTTACCTCCTCCTACCTAGCTTTGCTCCTCTGTAAAATGAGGCAAGACTGGGAACCAGTACATTGCTGGTGTGCTTTTTGACTAGCATCTAAAACCGTTTGGAGCTTCGATTTTGCTGATATGATATATAATTTCTGAGTTGTAACAAAGCTAAAATTTTTGGCATTAAAATTTCTAGTAATTTAAATTTAGTAGTAATCTGAACAAGTGTTCCAGAGTCAGGTGGCAAATCTGAAATTCCTATGAAAAGTAGCATAAAATTGTTAAATATGCTTATGTGGACTCCAAGATCAAATTGCATAATTAACCAAAATAAAATTTTAGAAACCTTAATGAAGTGGGAAAGTGAGATAACTTTTCAAAAGATTAATCAGCTTCTGAAGCAGCATTTCACTGCTGCTCAAATCTTTAAGCTAAGCACAATTTTTCCTGAGTCAGAGCTTGTTTTGTTATCAGTGTTAGTCTTTAAATCATTGGTTGTGAAAGAGTAAGTAGTAGTCATTGGCTTTGCTACCATCTTACAGTTCTATGATAGTTACTATTAAACTGGAAAGGAAGCTGAGAGACGAGGTTGTAATAAAAGAATGACCCCACAGTATATGAAGGGCTCTGACAAAGGATGGTCAGCTAAAGGCAACAGTAAAAGAAACGATTTAAAATTCAGCCTCTCTCTCTTGCACACACACACTCACACTCTCATAGACACAGATGTGATTTTCCTGGTGGTGATAGTAAGCCTTAGAATGGATTATGATGTGAAAGGTTGTAAAGCTTCAAGAAGTTTTTAAAATTTCAGAATGTCTGCAATGGTAAAGTATTGGTCTTAATATGAAGGCAGAGTAGGGGGCAGTGTCTAGATGTTCTCCCAGGGTCTCATTATTTACATTTGGTGGTTCTAGAACATTTCTTTAATTGTGCTTATGTGTAAAAAAAAAGTTGTCAACTGACTATAAGACTTTTAGCGTAGCTAGCAGTTTTAAACAAAGCCTTAGCTTTTCAGAAGTCATTTAGAGTGTGGAAAGACAGGTTGTGAAATAAAGTAAGTCTTTTTAGGGAGTAGGATGTCAAACTTTGAGGGTATTGTTTAGATTTTTCATAAAGGAAATGACCTCATGGTGGTAGAATAAAGACTCCTTTGTCTTTCTGAATCTTTTCACCCTGATATTTTGACATCTATGACATTTCATAATTAATAACATTGAACATTATTATTAAAATAGAAGGTATTAAGAACTGGGACAAAAACTTTCTTTAGGCAAGTATACGCTAACATTTTCCTCCCTCAACATCACTGGCCCCATCCAAACTAATGGAATTTTGAGTCAGTTGATCTAATTGAAACTTTTTCTTCTTGTGTCTTTCAGCAAACGAGGATTCAGTGTCAGATCCTTTGGAACAGGAACTCATGTGAAGCTTCCAGGACCAGCACCAGACAAGCCGAATGTTTATGATTTCAAAACAACATATGATCAGATGTACAATGATCTTCTTAGGAAAGACAAAGAACTGTATCCCAGTGGAATGCCCTTTTAAAAAACCCAATATGGTCATCTTTGGAAGGTGTAATTCATTATTTAGCATATGGAATATGCCTTAGCTTGGCCTTAAGTTTGTAGGGAGGTATTCTACATGAAAAGGGAGGAGGACTTACTACTCGTTTTATACCTTGCTAAGGTTAAATAGTGCATGCAGTCCAAACAAACCCTCCCGCCTTTTTTTTAAGCAGAGTAATAGATTTAATTTTTAAAACTCCAAGTCATAGCTTAATCATCTCTTGGTACTTCGCTGGATTTTCTGAATGTAGAATCCAGTCCTGGAAATGGAAGGATTGAGGAATGCTGACACGAAAAAAATTTAAATCATGATTATTTTAGTAGAGCCTAAAGTTTAGGCATACATTAAGCAGAGTAGACTACCTAGAAGTGCTTTTCACATTACTCTGTCTATATCATTGGCTGATATGTTGCTGAGAGGCAGCAGGATGTAATGGATGAGGGTGAACCTTCAAGTCAGGAAGACCTTGGTTCAAATCCTGCCTCTAACACATCCTGGCTTTGTGACCATGGGCAAGTCACTTAACCTTTCATTGCCCCTGTCGAGTCTCTCCAGCTAAGTTATAGATCTGCTTTGGTGGGAGAGGTTTCCATGCTGGGAGTTGGCCACAGTGATGAAATCACAGGTCCATCCTACCTTACTCCCTAACCCCATAGATAGTGTTTTTGCAGAGCCATATATATATAGTACACTGAGGGAGGACCAGAGGGAGAGGGCTCAATATAGGGCCAAATTTGGCATGTTAGAAGCAAACAATATTGGTAGAAATCCTTTCGTTGGAAACTTTCTGTGAATAGGAAAACTGGATTTAACTAGATCTAGCCAAAGATCCAGTCAAAGAGTAGGTTTTAAAAAGATTTTATGATCATAGCATTAAGACTTAATTGTCTTAAGAGATATTTGACCTCCAGTTTTCACACATTTTGGCTCATTATAAAGTCATCCATGTCCCATCCTTGACTTTTACCTCACTTTCTTGATTTTATGAGCCATATTTAAGAGATGGGGCCCAAATTTGAATACAAATATGCAAATCCAAAAATTCTTTTGACACCAGAGGTGTTGCAGTCTTTGGATGAATTAAAAATGTTTTCTACTTGTATGTAGGTTACTTAGGTGGCTGAGAGTATGTACCTGAAGGTCGTTCTAGCTAAAGTGTTAGATTGGAGCACCGCAAGATCCTGGGGTTTGTTGCATCATGTCCTCTCCTCTCTTCTACCTGCCTTCCCTTCCCTTTATTTAATTTTGCTTGGTTTTTTTTTTGTTGTTGTTTGTTTGCTTTATTTTTTTTTAAGTTACACAGCTAGTTCATTCACCAGTGCAACGTAAATAGATATGATGTTTATGTTGAAAACATCCACATGGGTTACCCTGCATAACCTGGTGTTCTCATTATGCCGTGGCAAGAGGAAAATAATCTTTGACATGGGGCTGTATAGCCATGTGGTGGTAACTCCTTTTTGAAACTTGGCATCCTGAGCATGGTCATCATTGAATGCACACACTGCACTACCCAACATCCTTGGGGCAAGAGAGGCGTATCTTCAAGTCATCATTTCCCCTGTAACTGAGAAGCAGCATTCTTTATTGGCCATATTTCTTCATCTTAGTAACTTAAATATAGTTGGCAAATTAGTTGTAAATAATACATTTGCCCATTCTGTTCTTGCTATGTCCCTTTAGCGTGATAGATGGCATTAACTATAAAACTGTATTTTAGAACTTCATGAACTCTGAGCTCTGGCCTCAGCTGCAGGTGTCAGTAGCTTACATTCTGTGGCAATAAGCCCATTTCATTATTCCACCTTTTTGTGAAATGGATGCCAAATTTTTAAACTTGATGCCTCCTATCATTGTTAGAAATGGGCAACAATCACAACAATGTTTCACATTACTAGTGTTTCTTCATTATAAATCACTGTATTTTTCCAAGTATCATAAATTGAATCCTATCTTCTAGTTTTTACACTTAATTTTTGAAGAAAAAAAATTGCTATTCCTTATCAAATAAAAATACCTTGATTTATATTTGAATCAATATAGTTTTTTTAAAGGCCAAAACGTAGCCTTTTAATAGTCACATTTGGGTGGGAGGAAGAGTGGAGGTGGCTATCTGCTGCTTTATGATGACCGAATGGAGAGTTCTCCAGTTCCAAGGTACCCTCTGAGGCTGTCCCAAGGGGGAAGTGCTTGGTGACCAGGAAGAAAAGAGCATAGGGCTTTTCATATTTGGGGATCCTGCTGGAAAGTGAGCTCCTTACAGGTCGGGGCTCCCTGTGAATGAAGAGTTGAGAAACAAAGGGTCCCAAAGGACCCAGAGTAGGACCACTCACGCAAAGCAGGAAGTGGAGGTAGAGTAAGCGGAGAGCATTGAAGGGCTGGCACTGAGTAGCCATGTGACCACTGGCAAGTCCTTTCTCTGGGGCTCAGTTTCCTCATCCATAAACAGGGAGAGGGAGTTGGATTAGCTGTGTGACCACTGGTAAGTCCTTTCTCCCTCTCTGGGCCTCAGTTTCCTCACCTGTCTAAACAGAGGGAGGGAGTTTGGATTTACTTTCTTCTAAGGTCCCTTCCAGCTCTGATGGTCTATGCTTCTGTGAGTTGTAGGATAATGGGGATGGTTAAGGCTCAAAGGACTGGAGCATTGTCACAACATTGGCCTTTGTGGGAGCCTGCTCTCCCACAGGAAGTGAAGAGATAGTTCACAATGGCTTCCTTATGTCCTGGGGGTGCTGCTATCACTGTCTGGATCTTCCTTGTGCTTGGGAACATGTCTACTGATTCACTTTTCTTCGGAAGTGGGGTTTCTGTTCTTTTAGGTGGGTGGGGAGGGTAGGAGGAAAAGAGCAAGACTGGGCTTGACAGATACGTTATTTTTGGTATTTGGTGAGAGGTTTTTGACTAAACCGCTCTCAAGTACATCCTTTGACCTAGTCAAGCGAGTGACATCTCTACAAAAAGAATTCATTCCAGCCCTTGGTGAGATGCTGCAGAGGTGGACATCAGTCTGAGGTGGCATGGGGGAAGCAGCCGAGGTAAACCAAAGCAAAAACCCAAGACCAGACACGTTATGTCGGATTAGGAATGGTGAGGTGTGTTAACAACTCCCGTCTCCTGTCAGTCACTAAGACAGGACTCCAGGCCAAAGAGCCTTCCCAGGTGTGGTCCTAACAGACTCACTGAACATGTGATTCACTGCGTTGGGACACAGCTACAACCTCTCCCCACCCTCCCCCGTTTTTAAGTTTTAAAGGGGAAGGAAAATTAAATGGGTCAAATAAGATAAGGGATTTGAAGGTGGTGGGTTTTTTTTTTTAACCAGAATGTTTAAAACAAGATTAGTGGGAAAAAAGATACAACCTAACATTCCCCTGAATGAAGCAGCAGGTGGCCAGTTACCTTCCTCAGAGGAAGCTGACATAGAACATCCATAAACAAAGACAGTACAGTGTGTATAAAATAATAACCTGGGACTACTGAAAAGAACTCCTTAGTTACCCTTCCAGATTTAACAAAAGAAACATCTCTTCCGTTGCTCATGCTGTAATTTTAACTTATTTGCGATTCTACTAAAACACTCTGGCTTTGTCTTTATAGGGATAATTTAAATTTACAGAATTGAGGTCTAATAGCTCCAAGATTAACAGGTTTTTTCCCCCTCATTTTAAAGTGATACCTTTAGTTTTTATATCAGTCATTTCCAAATAATATCCATTTCCCTTAAGCGTTAGCATTTTCTAACTATATTAAACAATAACTTAAGCATTTATATCACCTTCATTCTAAAATATATCCCTTCATCTTTAAGTCACATTTTAGGATGGGGGGTGGGGCAAGATAGGGTGCTTTATGCAGAAGATGAGTTTTTTAGATTAAAAACCTTCATTGTTGAAGAAGTAAGTTGATATTTATGCAGTGCTTTGCATTATACTTTACAGTAATTTGAATCACTAACAAGTAAATGCCATCTTCATTTTACAAATGAGAAAATAGGTTTAGAGAGGCTCAGTGCGCTATCCCCACATAGATCTTGGGATTTTAGGTTTAGAGCTTGAAAAGAGTGCTACCTGTTTCATTTTCCAGGTGAAGAAACTGAGTCACAGAGGTTAAATGACTTTCCCAGGAACACATAGCTAGTGTCTGCAGTTGGAGCCTAGGTCCAAAATGCACCACACTTAATACCAGGTGTCCTCTGTGGTACTGATGGTATACCACATTAACTTGTCACTGAAATGAGCCATTGGGTTATAATTTAAAATTATTTTTCCCTACTGTGGAAACATTTCAAATTGGCTCTTAAGAACTGAAAGTGTTGACCCTCAATTGTCACAAATTTAAGATCAGCTGAGTGCTTGTCCAGAGGTGAGAGATGGCTCCCCTAAAGACAGTTTCTTCTTAATTGCATTAAGAAGTGTAAATGTTTAAATTCTTGAATTTTCTTTTTTTCTCATGTTGTCTCACCTTAGCTATATTCATAGCTTGTGGAGATGAGGTTCTTTTCTAGATATCTACAAGAACAATAAAAATTCCCTTTTCACATTTTGGCAATGTTCTTAAGAGAAATTTTATTAATTTTTATAGGCTTTAGAGTTAAAATTTGCTGCTTCAGGTGGTTCCATAATACTATTTTCACCATCCAAATACATAAAGAGCAACCTTGGATACTTGGAACACTATCGATTAAGAGCCAATTTCAAATAAGTGGGAGGAAGAATAATTTAAAGCTATAGCCTAATTGACTCTTCATTAAGCCTTTGGCTGAAGCTTGGTGAATTTATTTCAGGGAGCTTAGGGGGAAAGGGTGACAGCACTCATCTGTACAAGGGGAGGGAGAGGTGCGGATTAACCACGGGAGAACTGCCAAGTCCAGCAGCAGCTGGTCATCCAGGGGACAGTGAGGGAAGCATTTTTGAGCCAACACCTTTAAAGCTGAGCTGATGGTAAGAGGTTATGG